GCATCTCAGGGCAGACGTGTCACTGTGCCTGGGGCCCAAATCCGGACCTAGTGCCCAGCGAGCAAGGAGCCGGAGGAACCGGCAGGGCTAGACCAGCTCCAGGGGGGCCTGTGCGTTGGGGGTGGGGCGAGGCGTGTAAACCCACGGGGGGACGGGACAGGAAACTCCGGTTTTCAGCCGGAGCTTTGTTTAGTCTGGTGAACTCAACCCTGTGGTTAGGTGGTTCTTGCTGACGGAGACGATCTCATGTCCAGCTCCAGGGCAGCCTCCTCTGGCCTCATGCATGCTCTGTCTTCACCCTAGCATCCCCCCCCCTGCACCCCGTTTCTTCTTAAAGGGGCAGCTCCCATTTCTCTTACCGCATTTATACCCCTGTTAACCAAAATAGATGGCAGAGAAGAAACACCTATTCTGACTGACGCTACAGCCCCTTTCGGAAAGATCGACTCCAGGCTGCTCCCGACAGGTCCTGCTGTGTCTTGAAACGGTGACTCATTTATCAACAGGATGTGGCTCCGGCCGTTTCCCCTCCTCTGCAGCTTGTTGTTTCATTTCAGGCTGGATTCAGCGAGTAGCCGGGGATGGGGGTCTCCGTGATGCCGGTGGAAATCTGCAGGAAGGCCGCTGTAATGGAGGGGCTTGAAGCGGGAAGGGCCGAGAGCCGCCGCAGGCTGGGGGGCAGTCGTGGTGCCATTTTGGGACTGAGCAACGCCAGGGCGGCGCGAGGACCCAGCGGGTGTAAGCGCCTGAGGGCGGGGACGTTGCCGTAGCTCGTCAGGTATTTTTACCACCCCGATGCACGACAGGCCCAGGGCGGCAAGGTGCGTGGTGCCTCCCACAGAGCTCCCTCAAAGTCAAACCTGGGTGAGGCAAGACAATTAGTCGTGGTGCCATTTTGGGACTGAGCAACGCCAGGGCGGCGCGAGGACCCAGCGGGTGTAAGCGCCTGAGGGCGGGGACGTTGCCGTAGCTCGTCAGGTATTTTTACCACCCCGATGCACGACAGGCCCAGGGCGGCAAGGTGCGTGGTGCCTCCCACAGAGCTCCCTCAAAGTCAAACCTGGGTGAGGCAAGACAATTCCAGGGGCAGGCTTGTGGCCTGGGATGTGCAGCGCCATGAGGTGCCCTTGCAGGAAGACTGGAGAACATAAGAACTTCAGAACCGCCACACTGGGTGAGACTAAAGGTCCATCCTAGTGCGGCGTATTGTCTGCCGACCGTGGCCAATGCCACATGCCCCAGAGGGAATGAACAGAACAGGGAACCATCAAGTGATCCAGCTCCTGTCGCCCATCCGCATCATCTGACAGAAGCTAGGGACACTATTCCTACCCATCCTTGTTAATAAGTATTGATGGGCTGAGCCGCCATCAATCTAACTGTTCAAGTCCCGGTCTTCACAACATCCTTCGGCAAGGAGTTCCGCAGGTTGACTATGTGTTCTATAAAGAAAGATTTCCTTTCGTTGGTTTTAAAGCTGCTACCCATGAAAAGACTCTAACTGTGCCTTTAGACCAGTCCTGGAATTACAGTCGTTAGCAGCTTAGGAGGTGGAACTGAAGTTAGCAGTGAACACAAGTTAGTTGTGAACTTGGGCAACTCAAGCCGCAGCTCAGGGCCTCAGTTTCCCTGCCTCAGTTGGGTTTTAGATTAGTTCTCCTCCTCCTCCTCCTCCTCCTCAGGAACTTTAACAGAATGATTGTGAGCTAATTAGTCCCACGCTCCTGCCGTTTATTGCCCTTACAACACGTCCCCACTGAGTTGGGTCGGATTCATCTGAAATCCGAGGGGTCTCCTTCCCGTTCTCATTCACACCCCTTTAGGAGTGGGGGAGGGAAGGGGTCACAGGGGGAAGGGGCTCACACGCCGCCCATGGGGGGGCCCCACAGAGGGCAGCTTCACTAGGGGCTGTAGAGCTCCTGGCTCTGAGGGTGCCGTTTCGGTGCCGGGGCCACGCTCCGCTCTGCGCCCGGTCGGATGGCATCTCAGGGCAGACGTGTCACTGTGCCTGGGGCCCAAATCCGGACCTAGTGCCCAGCGAGCAAGGAGCCGGAGGAACCGGCAGGGCTAGACCAGCTCCAGGGGGGCCTGTGCGTTGGGGGTGGGGCGAGGCGTGTAAACCCACGGGGGGACGGGACAGGAAA